AAGGTGTATAAAACCACATTCTCCTCGCCGTCTGTTCACAGACACGGAGGCGGATTCCTCTTGGCGGCTGCTGAGCCAGCGCAGCGTCCTGCCCAGGCGGACAGAGCCCGGCTCGCTCGGATCTGCGCCTTAGGACGCGGGCAGCGCACCAGGAGAGCTGGGCCAGGGAGGGTTCTATTATTAATGCTTTGAGGAAACGCCTTACTATTTGCCATAATGGGTACAGCATTCGCGTACTAACTTACATGTCTACCAGCAGTATATAAAAGGTCCTCTTTCTCCACATTCTTCTTGGCATTTCTTTTTATGCCACTGTAACTGGAGTAAGGTGACATCTCCTTGTGGTTCCGCCAGCATCTCTCTAATGAGTCGGTACGGTGAGCATTTGTCATCAAGTTTTTGGCCATTTCTTCTCTCTAGAAATGCCTAATTGCATGAAACTGAAGGTTAAAAAAGGAGTATCTATTCAGACCTTTTGTCCATTTTTAAATTACATTGTATCTTTTTTCAATCGAGTTATTTGACTTCCTAACAAACTAGAGAACTTTGGAACAATTGCATAGTCTGCAATATCTGGTCCCATGTTGCAGGTCACCCCTTCAGTTTGTTGATTTTTCATTGCTCTGCAGATGGTCAATACTTCTGTGTAATCTCATGTGTCTATATTTCTTTTCTTGACTGTGCTTTTGAGGTTCTATTCAAAAAACCTTTGTCCAGACCAATGTCTGAGTTAGTAAATTCTGTCTTTAGAATTTGATGTCAACGAAACATGAGAAAAACTGTACTCTCATCACGTTTAGTACAATGATTCTACTGTGTGCATTTCTGAGCAATTAATTACTGTGTATGTAAGCCCTTCAGTTCACCCACAGACGACTTCTTAAACAGACGAGGTGGTAATACAGGTGGGAGCATACAAACAGTGTAACTGTATACCTGATAACTCCCCAGAACTTTATTTTACAGTGTAAGTAAATTCTTTTTTACTCTTCATGATATTGTACCTCTGTAATGCCAAAATCATTTTTTCTCTGCAGGAAATGGAAGAATTTGTCCAGAGCTCAGGTGAACATGGTATTGTGGTGTTTTCTCTGGGGTCAATTGTCCAAAATCTTACAGAAGAAAAAAGTAATCTCATTGCTTCAGCCTTGGCCCAGATTCCACAGAAGGTCAGTACAACCTCCAGTTCTGACAGGTGGCTATTCAAACTCTGGAAGAAGTGTGAGTTCCATCTGAACTTGAATCTCATTTTCCATTTAGGATGACAGGTTAGGTAAAAATCAGTGTTAGGTAAACATTTTACAAAACATTATAATAGGGTATTTGGGTGCAATTTATCATTAGCCTACTGAGCCTTGCTGTTGCTATGAAAACAACGCACTTTTTTGACATTTGTCTGTAATAGAAATGAAACACAGAGTTGTCACTTCACATTTTAGGATTTGAAATTTTATGGCCTTTGCTGACTACTCCAGGAAAAGTCCTAAACTGTCTTGGCTCTAAGAACTGCATCCTCCCAAAATGGGGATACTGATACAGCAAAGATAGAGAGGAATTGTGTTCTAGAACATTTTCCACATATTCATTTGTATCAGAACTTTATCCAGTAGGGTTAGGGATAAGAGTAGAAGCTTAAATTTATGTACTCTTTCTTTCTTTTTTTGAGACAGAATCCCAAGCTGTCACCTTGGGCAGAGTGCTATGACATCACAGCTCACAGCAACCTCCAACTCTTGTGCTTAAGTGATTCTCTGGCCTCAGCCTCCCTAGTAGCTGGGACTACAGGCTCCTGCCAGCTATTTTGTTGTTGTTGTTGTTGTTGTTATAGTTGTCATTGTTTGTCTGGCCTGGGCTGGATTTGAACCTACCAGCTCTGGTGTATGTGTCTGGTGACCGAGCCTCTGAGCTACAGGCAATAAGCCTATGTACTCTTTCTAATGAAGTAGAGCTTTCTAGAGTTAAAAGTCTATTACAATTTTAATATTTTCATGTTACAATCTGCATGTTATAATTTATAATACTCAATTAATTTTAACTTTGTTTTTACTACAACTGTATGTTTCTACTCTTCAGATAGTGGTGTTATGTAATATCTAAAACAGCAGTTCTCAATCTGTGGGTGGTGACCCCGTTGGACCATTGGAGAACACATCCTTCATATCAGATATTTACATTACAATTCATAACAGTAGCAACATTACAGTTCTGAAGTGGCAACGAAAATAATTTTATGGTTGGGGGCACCACAACATGAGGAACTGTATTAAAGGGTCATGGCATTAGAAAGATTGAGAACCACTGATCTAAAAGATCTTTTTACTTTTTATTTGGTTACATTACTCAAAACTCACTAATGCTGTTATTCTGTCATTTAACTTGTGAAATACATATATTTTCTTCCACAGGTTTTGTGGCGACACAAAGGGAAGAAGCCAGCCACATTAGGAGCCAATACTCAGCTCTATGATTGGATACCCCAGAATGACCTTCTCGGTGAGACTATAAGACAGTGACAACAGCATTTGAAGAGGGACAAACTGAATCACTGTTGGACAGCTAGTATATTCAACAAACATTTAAACATTGTAGATGTATTTCCTTTTACCTCCAATTTTATGCTAGATACAATTAAACAACGGGCCACTTATTTTATAGATTCACATTTTCTATTGTTAAGGCAAAATTGTCATACAATTCAGTGAGGACTAATGTCTTTGGCAGCAGTGACCTATGTGCTCATCTTTACAGAGAATGCTGAATGCTGCTGCCTTCCCTGACTCTTCTCAGTGTCTTCCCCTTAGATTCTGAATTTCTTTTAACACTTTATAATAAGAATCTCCAATTTCTCATCCAATTCTCAACTAGGTCATCCAAAAACCAAAGCTTTCATCACCCATGGTGGAATGAATGGGGTCTATGAAGCTATTTATCATGGGGTCCCCATGGTGGGAATTCCACTATGTGTTGATCAGCCTGATAACATTGCTCGCATGAAGGCCAAAGGTGCAGCCGTGGAGGTGAACTTGAACACAATGACGAGTGCAGATTTGCTCAGGGCTTTGCGAACAGTCATTAATGACCCTTCGTAAGTATTCCTGCTTTTAAAGG